ATTTAAAACGTGTGGAGTATGGAGCTTGAAAAAATAAAAGCAAATCGAAACAAACCAAGCCAAGCTGCTCACTGTTACTTTGGCTTTGTTTTTATTGTTGTTGTTTTTTTATTTTTTGTATTTTATACAATCATCTAACCAATAGTGCAATTTGTTTATGTTGTAACTAACGCGCTTGCTCTATGGGGTTTGCAAAGAAGCGAGAGCAGCAACAAGTTAGCGAGGCTAGCCTGCTAGCTGCCAAGCTTAGCTTAGACGTTCGAATGTGACTGAGCAGTTGGCGTTGGCGCCCAATACCTTCAGCTGTGGCTATTTTTTGAGCAAATTTTCTTGATCAAACAGTCAAAAGCGCGTCAGTAACAGTAACACAAGCAAACGAACGAATCAGCGCGCAAAATTAGCGGACACAATTAATTGACGCTTGTAAAAAAATAGATAAAAAATTTTTAAATTCGAAAAAACCAATACAAAGAAAATCAAAGAAAAAAAATAGTTGTTAATAAAAATAATAAAAAAAAGAAGATTGATACTGTGTAATTAATTAACCACATACCACACCACACCAATTCAATACTTTTACTTTAATTTATGCAAAGGCAAAAAAAAAAACCAAGTTTAGACATGAGCCGTTATTCAGTGGTTCTTTAAACCCCCATACACTCCATACAGAAGGTAAGAAAGTTGTTGCTAACACAAGGTTTAAACAATCACAACGCCATACCAAAGCAACATGTCAACACTCAAAATGCATGTTTGCCTTTAGGCTCCAAATACAGAATTAATAAGAAAAAGAGTGGCAACAACAACACATAGCACTTAAAAAAATTCTTAAAAAAACGAAAGAACAATACGGAAGAAGGAGGGCATAACGTTAATTATTTTTTTACAAAAAAAAAAAAAAAAAACAAATTTTTGCTTCTGTTGGTGGCAGTACCCCCCTCCCACACACCCACACACACACTGAATTTACTGAGTCTACTCCACCATCAAGTTTCATACAACAACGTTTATATCACTTCTTTCAAAACCCCCCTCCGGATACAAGTGTATGTTTAAAGTTCGAGACATTCAGTGTCGTAGCTATCTAAGCTTGACGTTAATATTTCAATTTTGAAAAAAAAATACAGCAACAACAACAAATTATAATAATAGTAATGATACATACCTGTGTGTTTTTTTTTCGTTCATGTCTTTTTTGGTTTTGTCTTGTTACTCACTGTATGTTTGAAAGTACATAACCTTGAGTTAATGTTGAGTTGAACAACAATTATAACTGAAAAGCAACAAAAAAAAACACCATCAAATGCCATAATACAGCTGCTGGTGGTTTCAAAAACATGAAGACAACAACAAAATATATATTTAACAACAACAAATACTGGCGAATTATTTGAAACGGACATTAAAAAAATCGCATTATAACAAAACTACATTTTGAACTATTGAACAAGGCATTGTTCAAATGATTGATATTATTGGCCGGATCAAAGAAATCCCTTTTTTCATTCTCAATTACCTATTATTACACGGTGCAACAAAAATTAAGCGAAATGAATAGACGTTAATTTAAAATTATATTGCGTGTGAACATATTATTATCGTAAATGAATTGCTATCGACCTATTTACATTGGACGTGTATTAAAAAAAAATTAATTTATTGAACACATATGGTCTGTTCCCGTTCTGCAAGAATCTACTCGATTTTACAATTTTCTTCGATGTCATAGCTAAAAGTAGTAGATTCTTGCAGTGTTTTCTGGATGACTAGGATGAACTCAGAAACTAATTTTAGCGTTTTTATTTATGTTTCATATGTTTCCTTTCGATTGTACATCGACTCGATTGACAGATACCTTGCGAATATATAATCTTGTTCATAATGCAATAATAAAGAGATGTATCAAAACAAGAACATATTTTTGTTGTATTTGACCATCTGTCAAATTTTATGTAGTAATATTTCTCATGGTTGGCAACCATGTTACCTATTACCCATTAGTTGTGTCATGCTATGCATAATGCAATAATGCTATTCAAATGTATCAAAACAAAAACATCACTTTTGTATTTGACCAGCTGTCATATTTTATGTAGTAATATTTCTCATGGTTGGCAAAATTGCACATCGAATTCATGTAGAAACCAATAATAAGGTTATGTATCAGAACAAAAACAAACACTTTCATATGGTTGGCAACATTGCCCATCGAATTCAAGTAGAAATTACCCTCGTTGACAGTTAATCTAGACATCAGCTGCGCTAAATGAACTACGCATTTATTGTGGTGGAAACCATGACACCAGGATTACCGTTGTGCGACTAAAGTTGCAATTTGCAACCTGTTTGATGCCCTGCAACTCTGTTGGCAACTTTTTAAGCTTTGTGCGAATTTCCTTCCTTTTTATGTTTCAATTCAAACTAATTTTGATTCGTCTATGTCGTTTTAGAGTTCAAAGGCTATCTGAAATATTCAGAGAACAGTTTTTTTTTTTTGACAAATTTACTTCTCTGTGCAACTTTTTTAAATGGAACGACTTTTTGTGCAACTTTTTTAAAATTCCCAGCGGTAACACTGCATGACACAACAAATAGTTAATCCATTCAGCGCAGCTGATGACTCGATTAACTGTCAAAGTGTGTAATTTCTACATGAATTCGATGTGCAATGTTGCCAACAATGTGAAATACTATAAGGAAAAATTTGACAGATGATCGAGACAAAAACAAAGGTTTTTGTTTTGATGCATCACCTTATTATTGCTTCATAATAGAAACTGTGCATTTGACAGTTAATCGTATAGTCAGCTGTGCTAAATGGAATACCTATTTATTGTGTCATGTTCTATACACTAGCGCTAAAGTTTTACGAAGCGTATTTTTCGGAGAATACATGGCATAATTATACAAGGTAGTCTCATGTTGTCATATGTTTGCAATATTTTCATCAATTTTCATCAATTTGCCTCTGACAGCATTCTTACTTAGCTGGCTTGTGGCAGAATATTTGTTCCATAGTCCAAGCTTAAAAACGATTTCCAGGAGCATTGATCTTCCGTATTTCTATACTGATGTCATTAGTTTTATTTATGGCGGAGCCGAGGTATATAAAAGTTTTGACTATATCGAAGCTGTAGTTCTCAAGTTCCATAGTTGTAGTTCTAAAGTTCCGAGTCTACTGGACGTCTTGCGCCATCAGCTTGGCCATCTCACCATGTACCATCAGCTTGGCCTTCTCGATATTTTCTGGCAGGCTCACTTTGGCAGATTCCTTCCCAATTTGTTCAAAGGTGGCTGTTACCGCTCGCAATGTTTGACCCATTATGTCGAGAGTTTTTTTGTGTTCACCTTTGCCTCACGTACGACCTTTCCAATGTGAAATGCGGTTTTATAGTTGACGAATAGGTGAAATGTGTCGATGTGTTTTTCGTGAGTCTTTTCTAGCATTGGGGACAGAGTGAAAATCTGGTCAATGGTGGAAATGCCAGGCCTGAGGCCGCATTGGTATTGTCCAATATTGTCATTGACCATTAGCTTCAGTCGTTCACATAGCACGCTGTATAGCACTTTATATGCGATGGGAAGGAGACTTCTTCCTCTATAGTTGGGAAATATCGTCTGGTCTGTTTTTTATAAACGGGATACTGGGTGCTGAGGATCCAATCATTGCTTTGTTAGATTGTCAATCGTTAAGCCTGATTTACACCGAACATTTTTATATTCGTTCCGTTCCAGGGCCTAAAAGATTGTACTAATTTTATAAGTTTTGCAACATTTTACTCAAAACCCGTTCATGAACCCACAAAACTAGTAAAATTACTCTGAGAGCGATTTTGAAATGTTTCCCTTTTACTAGCTTTACTATTAAAAAAAAGTACTGGAACAGACCATGTGTATATATACGTAAACAAAATCTAATCGATCTTAGAACAATAAAGGAACATTTTAATTGTTTTAATATTTCTTTCGAACAATTTTTTTCCGCAAATTGAAAATGAAATGGAAAATTATAAAAATGTAATGAAAATATAAATTTATCATTGTGTGAGATATGATTTAAATTTGCATAATAAATTTAGCCTGATTATGAAAATAAACTCTGCCTATAATAATGATCATATTTGTAAACCCGCCTTTAACCTCCTCTATGAGAATTTATTTGACAATTTAAATCCAGCATAATGTAAATGTGTTATTAGTCCTCCTTAATTAAGGTACGTTTAGATTTACGAAATCCACTCGATCTCTAATGTCAATTTCATAGCAGATACGTCAAATATAATCCACTGGATTTGTGAACTGGATTAACGTGCACATACACACACAATGGAATTGACGTTTGAGATCGAGTGGCTTTAATAGTCTTAACGCAGTCAAAGATTCTTTTGTTGCACTCTGTAAAATACCATTTCCCCTACTTAAGCTGCATATAAACGATATGTTATCTATCAGTTTCTTATATATGAGAGCTATTTGAAAGCAAAAACAACAACAACAACAATATGATATTGTTTAATAATTTTCATAGATCTTAATTGTTTTTATTGTTGTTTAAATTACTACTTAGCCATTTAAAAACCAAGTCACCGATCTACTTTTTGTTACCAATTTATCTAAATTATTATCTCTGTGTATGTGTGTGTGCGTTTGTGTATGTGTGCAAATATTTTACAACAAATGACCAGTCAATTATTTGAACTCTCGTTTTAAACAATAAATTAAATCATATTTAATCGTTTTTAAACAACAACAAAGTAGCCGTCAACAATAACAGCAACAACAACACCAATAGCCAATAAGTGGATTACAATAACGAACAATTTAACGACGATCGAAATAGATCCATAACGCCATTAACACCACCACCACGCAACAAAATCAACAGCAGCAGCAAATAGCTCACCAACGCCGCCACCGACGACGCCGCCACCGACGACGCCGCCACCGACGACGCCGCCACCTACGACGCCGCTAACAACAACAACGCCGCCATCTCTAACACAATGAAGAATTACTTAACAACAATTTTTATATTTCTAATAGTTAATGGTAAGTTAAATTGAGATTATTTTTGTTTTTTTGGGAATGGAAGATTCAAATGCTAAAAGTCTAACATTTGCGGGGGCCAACTCCAAAAAAAAAATATAGGAAAAAAAATAAAACAAAAAAACATTTTTTTGACATTTTCAAGTGAACAAAACCAACAACAACACAATTAATAATGAAGCATAAAAACGAAATCAGCAAACAACTGCTCTTGTTTAGCAACATAAAAAAATTATTATTGTTGTTGTAGATTTTTTTCTGGTGTTACGGTTTCTAATGTACGATTATTTTAAAAGTTAAGGGTTAAAGTAACTGATATTTGACCGACCCTGTGAGCTGAATTTTGTACATTAATTAAAGACCAAAAAAAAAAAACCGAAACCGAAATCAACAAATACTAGGAAAAAATGTTTGTTAGTTGACCATGTCGTGTATTTCAACACATCTCTTTTTTGTTGTAGGTAATTCATTTATTAATGTTGTATTTTTTTCTCGGCCATTTCATACGAGGTGGCTGAAACCTAAACAAATTTTTTTGTGCCATTCTCTTTGTTTTTAGATGTCGGAAATAAAACTAAAACAAAACATATATAATTAGGCAATTTTTTCCATGGTTTAAATTAGGTAATAAATCAGATTTAAATAGGTTGTATAATTTGTCACAGAGTTGAGGCAATATATATCAAATATGAGGAAAAATCGAAAAAGTGAAGGACATGTTGGTCCTAAGGGGAGAAACACATACAAAGATTTCAGGGCTGTTCCTAGAATGAAGACAAATGCCGAACTTTGACAAATTTCAATTTAATTCGCATATGCAAGTTTCGCATCAGGGCAGAATAAATACATGTTATCAACATACGACCTTTGTAAAGCCACATAGCCCAATGTGTCTGATGAGCCGCTTAACGAACTTCGAAATGCGTCGCATAATGGTGGCTACGTAGGTTCATCTCCTGGCTTTCCTTTTCATTGCAAAACATAGATCATTAAGCACGACTCAAAAGATTATAAATAATCACTTAAAATTTTTTGAGAATGCCTAATAGGTGCGGATTTATTTTAACTAATTTTTAAGAATTTTTAAGGGTCTTCAATAGGCTTGGATTTTTAAAGAATTATTTTTTAAGGACAAATATCGAATTCGCATATGCAAGTTTCGCGCCAGGGCAGAATAAATACAAGTTATCAACATACGACCTTTGTAAAGCCACATAGCCCAATATGCCTGATGAGCCGCCTAACCAACGGCGAAACGCGTCGCATAATGGTGGCTAAGTAGGTTCTTCTCCTGCCATTCCTTTTCATTGCAAAACTTAGATCATTAAGCTCGACTCGAAAGAGTATAAATAATCACTTAAAAATTTTTGAGAATGTCTAATAGGTGCGAATTTATTTTAACTAATTTTTACGAATCTCCAATAGGCGTGGATTTTGTTTTAAATTATTTTTAAGGGTCTTCAATTGGCTTGGATTTTTAAAGAATTATTTTTTAAGGACAAATGTCGAATTCGCATATGCAAGTTTCGCGCCAGGACAGAATAAATACAAGTTATCAACATACGACCTTTGTAAAGCCCAATATGCCTGATGAGCCGCTTAACCAACGGCGAAACGCGTCGCATAATGTTGGCTACGTAGGATCTTCTCCTGGCTTTCCTTTTCATTGCAAAACTTAGATCATTAAGCTCGAATCGAAAGAGTATAAATAATCACTTAAAATTTTTTGAGAATGTCTAATAGGTGCGGGTTTATTTTAACTAATTTTTACGAATCTCCAATTACTTACTTAGCCGGCTTGTGACAGAACTTTCATTCCATAAGCCAAGCTTAAAAAAGATTTCACACGTGTCGGGTTTTTGCGCAGTTTTTCCAATTTGAAATACCATGTTCGGCAATGTTGTATTCCACTTGATCTTTCCATTTAATTATTGACCTTACCCTTCTGCATGAATCATCAGATGGTTCGCTTTTATATGCTTTTTGAGCTGGGGGACATCTTTATCCATTCTCACAACATGACCTAGCCAACGTAGTCGCTGCAGCTCGATATGTCTGACATTGTCGATGTCCGAGAATATACAATTCATTCAGGCGACATTCACTGTCGTCGCAGATCGGCCCATATATACTTCGGAGAATTTTTCATTCAAACACTCCAAAAGTTGCCTTATCTGCTTGCGTATAATAGAACGGGTGGTATCAGCGTCTTGTAGACTGTGAACAGCTTACTTAGACCATGGTAGAAGCATCACTATCCTTCTCCGAATTTCAAACCTGATGTCATTAGTTTTATTTATGGCGGTACCAAGGTATATAAAATCGTTCACTTTGGTCTTCACCTTTGCCTCATGTATGACCTTTTCCAGCAAGATGTTAAACAGGCCACACGACAAACTGTCACCTTGTCTGAATCCTCGTTCGTTATTGAAGGGCTCCGATATGGATATATCGCGGCGTGGATTTTTTTAAGAAGTTTTTTCAATGAATTATGTTTGAGGAGCTCCCATAGGCGCGGTTTTTTTTTAATTTATTTTTTAATGATCTCTAATAGTCGTGAATTTTTTTAAATATTTTTTTATTTTAATATAGGCGTGGTTTTTTTTAAATATTTTTTTTTAAATCTCCAATGTGTTAAATATTGTGAATTATTAGATTGGCAAAACACATTTTATTTAGTGATCCCTATGTTGATCAATAACAATATAATATGTATGTATTTGATGGTTACTGTTATGGCACAATGAATAGGTAGTCCATTTAGCGCAGCTGATGCCTCGATTAACTGTCAAAGTGCGTAATTTCTAATTGAATTCAATGTGCAATGTTGTCAACCATGTGAAATATTATAAGGAAAAATTTGACAGATGGTCGAGACAAAAACAAATGTTTTTATTTTGATACATCACCTTATAAAATAATTTTTTACCATCTCCAATGTTTGGGGATTTTTTTAAAAAATTATTATTTAGAGATCTCCAATAGGCGAGAATCATTTTTAAGGATCTCCAGTAGGTGTGCATTTTATAAAAATTATTTATCAGAGGTCGTCCTATAGCCGCGTTTTTTTACTACCTCCAATAGGCGTGAATTTTTTTAAAGATGGATTCTCTCTTATTCTTTTACATTAAACAATGCAAACTTAATAGTACGTTTACTTTTAACCGGATTTCGTTAACCCCGTGGGTTTCAATTGTCAATTCCATTGTATATATGTCAAATAAATCCTCATAATGTAGGTTGACCCGGTCAAAAGTTCTAATGTATATGCATGTATATGTATATTCCTCTGCCTGAAATCCTCGAATGTGTTTCCCCCATATACAGGTCCGAAATACCCCGAGTAAATATCTAAAGCCGGCTTTATTGACGGATTATCGAGGTAGAGAGGTTAATAGTACGTTTACATTGTAACACAGTGTATGTCAAATAAATCATAACGAAGTAGGTTAACCTGGTAAACATTTCTAATGTAAATGCCGTTTAAGTAAAGGACAGTGATATGACTCAGCAATATGGAGGTGTCATTGTAATCTGCTTTACTACGATTTAATTCATAAATAGAGTTGAATTTACCTCGGTTTAACATACAAAATTAAAGCCACTCAATATCTAAATTTACTTGAAATCCTATTCTAAATCGAAATATTTTCAAATACAACCCTGTTTTTGTGTGAAAAAATTTATCACTTCTCCTAAATGTACCAGAATGCCAAAGCTTTACGTTTCAAAATCCAAAATAGTTGCCTAACCAAAATATGACCACAGCTGACAATTTGGAATTATGAAACCCCTGGGAAAAGTGTATGTATACGTAAACAAATAACAGCTGACTGTCAACTTTATATTATTTCAATACCCGAATAAAAGGTTAGGATTTTGTGCCTCGATTTAGAAATCGAATCGTTAAAATTCCAACAAAACTATGACTATTGCTGACAATTTGGAATTATGAAAACCCGGTGAAAATTGTATGTCATGGTACAATAAATAGGTAGTCCATTTAGAGCAGCTGATTTCTCGATTAATTGTCAAAGTGCGTAATTTCTACTTGAATTCGATGTGCAGTGTTGCTAACCATGTAAAATATTATAAAGAAATTTTTGACAGATAATCGAGAGAAAAACAAAGGTTTTTGTTTTGATACATCAGCTTATTATTGCATCATGGTATATGTAAACAAATAACAGCTGACTGTCAACTTTATATCATTTTAATACTAGTCTAAATACTAGTCTTGTATAACGATTTAGAAATCAAATCGCTTTTAGAACAGTTAAATTCTTTTAATTTTTCCTTCAAATATATATATTTTTTTGTTTGTTTTGCAAAATTAATAATGTAGTATTTATGCAAACAAACATCAGCTGATTTTCATTTAGATCATGATCAAAGGTATGTGTAAACAATTAGAGTGTATTTCTGGATTTCGCTAATCGAGTGGATTTACAAATCGTATATAAAAATTTATTTTAAAGCGGAAGAAGATCCCAAAACAGATGATTTATCAGGCATTGATTAATAGCTTCCATCTATACGGGAGATGACCTCAGAGGACGCCATCTAGACGGGAGAAGACCTCCAAGGTCGCCATCTATACGGAAGAATATCTCCGAGGCCTCCATTTATACAAGAGATGACCTCAGAGCCTCGATATATACGGAAGAAGACCTCTGAGGTCTTCATATATTCAGGAGATGTCCTCAGAGTTTCGATATATGCGGGAGAAGACCTTCAATGCCTCCATTTATACGGGAGAAGACCTCAGAAGCTGCCATCTATAGCTTCATTTGGTTTATTGATAGCTTTAGTTGATTTATTTAGGCTCCCTAATCAAGAATCTTTGAGCTTCAGCTCACCTATACCCATAAACTTAAGTCTTAATTAAAATCTTAGCTCAAAACAAGACATTAAAATGTGTTTATAATTTCGGTATGGCTCATAAAACATTAAGCTAATAAAAAAAATTATGTCAAAAACCATATTTGTGTTACAGTGTACTATATGAAAAAGTAGGTCAAGAAATATGTGACACTAGACGTTATTTCGAACAGACATACTTTTTAATATCAATGTTAATTCCCTATCTAAAAATTCTAATTATAATACAACTCTTGCTATACTGTAGGCTTTTTATCGAATTTAATTTATACAAAATTAATATTCATTCATTAATTCAATAGAACGACATACCGCTTAAGTTTATATGGCTACTAACAGCGATCACGTTTTCAAACAAAAATCGTTATTAATTGCTATCGTTTAATGTCTTAATTTTCTGTTAATGTTTTGTTTTCATGATTTACTTTATTTTGTTTATATTTTCAATTTTGTTGTTTTTGTGATTTATTAGATGAATAATAATAAAAACATCAACACCTTTTTTTCGACATTGGAAAATAATCAGTAACGGAAAGAGATTTTCAATGCATAGAGACGAAATGTTTCGATGTTATCATCTCTATCTTAAGCGGCAGTTGTGCAAGTATTTCATAGACTAATTAATGAAATTGTTATCATCGATCAATTTCACAGTTTAATGAAAAAAAATACAAATACATTAAAACCTGATTTGATTTGTTTGGCTTGTCTTTTAAAGCGAAATAAATAATTATGTTTATGGATTGAAAAACAAAATAGAAAATGTAGACGGAAATTTAACTCGGTTTACCATAGAAAAATAAATCCACTCAATATCTTAATTTATTCGAAATCCTATTCTGAATCGATATAATTTCAAATGCAACCCTGTTTTTTCACCCAAAAAATGCATCACTTCTCCCAAAAGTACCAATAAGGCAACGCTTCAAATAGTTGGGTAACAAAAATATGGCAGGAATTGAAAATTTGTTTAAATGTATGGTAAATATTACAATAATTCATATCGACATATGTTTTTTTTTATAATCTTTTACCTAATAATTTTTTTACCTAATTTCTATTAAAAGTGATGAAAATATTAATTGACAAATTGCTTTAGAAACTATGACACCAATTAAAAGTCTATGTATATGTAAACAAATATCAGCTGACTTTCAATTTATATAATTTAAATTAAAATTAGTCTAAACAACTAGTATTTTATACAGCGATTTAGATTGCATTCTCTAAACGTGACTATAAAGTTGCTGGGCTACATATGAGTTCTCTTCTTGATGCTCACTTCCATGATGCAATAATAAGGTGATGTATCAAAACAAAAACATTTGTTTTTGTCTCGACCATCTGTCAAATTTTTCCATATAATATTTCAAATGGTTGGCAACACTGCACATCGAATTCAAGTAGAAATTACCCACTTTGACAGTTAATCAAGACATCAGCTGCGCTAAATGGACTACCTATTCATTGTGCCATGGTATAGTCTAAACGTGACTATAAAGTGATTAGGCCACAATAAGGTGATGTATCAAAACAAAAACCTTTGTTTTTGTCTCGACCATCTGTCAAATTTTTCCATATAATATTTTACATGATTGGCAATACCGCACATCGAATTCAAGTAAAAATTACGCACTTTGGCAGTTAATCAAGACATCAGCTGCTCTAAATGGACTACCTATTCATTGTGCCATGCCCACTTCAAACTGGAAGATTAGGACGATTCACACATGTCCATAGTTAGGGTTCAATTCAATTTCTAAATCATACCTCGATTAACCATACAAAATTTTGTTTTTGTACCAAAACATGCATTACTTTTCCTAAATCTATCAAAAAAAGGCAACGCATCATATAAATGGATAACAAAAATATGGCGGGAACTGAATTGAAAATTTGCTTAAATTTAAAATGAGTATTGCAATAATTTAAAACAACATATTTGTTTATACAATGGAGAGCATTTTCTATTAAAATTATAAAAATATTGATTGAAAAATTGTCACAGAAATTACAATACCAATTAAATGTATTTGAATACGTAAACAAATATCAGCTGACTGATATTTTTATATCATGATAATAGCTCATTTCCGTATTTTTTGATAGTAAAGCTTGTAAAACTACTCTCGCATTTTTTCTCTTTAAAAACTGGAGGCAGGTCTTCCTCCAGCTAGTCCACTTTCTATTAGAATAGAAGGTATAGGACCATATGAACGAGATTTTCATATATTTTTCATTTAGTGGCAAGTTAAGCGAACACTTAACACAACGCCATTTTGTATTTTTTTAAGCCCGTAGGCGTGATTAACTCTTTAAATGCGCCTTTCTAGTGAGCCGTCCTAAGACGAACTGTACCAAGATCTATTAATAAAGTCACCCAGGTAGCAATCGAAATCGGTAAACAGCTGTTTTTTTCTCAAGTCTAGTGTCAACAATTTCGACTTTGTTTACGTTTTCATAATGGAAGTCAATTCACAATAATGCATTTTGACAGCAAATTTGAGTGACGGTCTCCCTTGATGACCTTATTTATAGGCCATGAACTGTACTCTCACATTTACATTTTTATATCATGATAATAGTTCCTTTCCCGTATTTTTGATAGGAATGTTGGTAAAAAAGGGTGAACTACTCTCACAGTTAAATGCGTATACATACGTAAACAAATATCTACTTGGTTTCTTTGCTATTTTTTTCCCTCACAAAAATTATTAAAATTTTTTTTTCGTTCGTTGAAGTCTTTATTTCGATCTAGTTATCCCTAGCAATTCCTAGATTTACTTTTTCCTGCAACTGCAAAATTTGTCTTGCAGCAAATAGGAGAAGAGAACGCCATTATTCAGACTTCCTTAAATTTTGCTCCATTAATTCTATTAGCAAGGTCTATTTATAAGGTCGTCCTGGAATACCAGCTGAATATCAGCTGCCTCTCAAGTTTGCTGTCAAAATCCATTATTGTGAATTGACTTCCATTATGAAAACGTAAACAAAGTTCAAATTTTTGACATTAGACTTGAGAAAAAAACAGCTGACTTTCGCTAGCTGGGTGACCTCGTTAATAGATCATGATTTTATTAGTTTTCGGGTCGTGTAAACCTTTTCTAGGAAAAGATAGAAAAATAGTACGAAACAGTACTATTTTGCAGGTTTGGGTACACAACTAATAATAGTATAAATCACGAGGATTTTGTACGCCAATTTAGGAGGCATAGTTTAAATGCATATTATGTTTATTCAGTTTAATCTGAACCCGTAATTATCCGTAAAACGGCATATACATTAGAACTTTTTACCGGGTTAATCTGCTTTATGAGGATTTATTTGACATATATGCAAAGGAATTGACAATTGAAACCCACTGGGTCAACGAAATCCGGTTAAATGTAAACGTACTATAATGATTGGAACATTTTGCAGGATTAATCTACTTTATGACGATTTATTTGACAAATAGACAATGGAATTGACAATTGAAATCCACTGGGTTAACTAAATCCGGTACAATGTAAACGTACTATTATCTAAATTAAAAGCATATGTTAGGATATTTCATATTTCTCCCGTACTGCAAGAATCTTTTAAGATTTACTAGAAAAATTATTATCGTATTAAAATGTTAAACTTTCTTGAAAGTTCTGCAATAAAATTTATAATTTATATATCAAAGATTTATATTGCTGACTACAGCCCTTAAGGGGGGGAGACACATACGAGGTTTGCAGACATGCCTCTTTAAGTTCCTCTGTATTAAATATCAATTTGTTAGAGGAATATCTGTGACAAATTTGAGTTTGGGCGCCATTCTCCTTTAGGTACACGAGTTAATTTAGATGGTATAGTGTAAACGCGACCTTAATTACATTTTGTAGATTTCTATTCCTGACTGCAATCCTTAAGGGGAAGACGTATACGAAAATTTCTAACATGCCTATTTAATTTGCATTTGGGCGCCATTCTAAATTGTCCTTACACGAAGGCAGTTCGGAAAGTTATTAGCCTAGCACAAAAAGAGCAGTATAAACAGCAGTATATGAACACATGTTAAATAGGTGTTCAAAAAAGACGCATCCGCAATTTTTTACAAAGAAAGCAGGTATTTCTAATTTTTCCATTGTAAAACATTGCGGATGCGTCTTTTTTGGACACCTATTTCTATATGAAGAAGTTGCCAGACCGACACAAAATTTAACATGTGTTCATAACAACGATGGAAGTTTCCAAAACACTTAACTTTTTTCTGTTTATACCGCGCTTTTTGTGCTAGGCTAAGAACTTTCCGAACTGCCCTCGTATGATATCTTTAGGTATTTGAGATACACCATTCTATTCAATAGCTTTCAAATTAAAACTTTTCTTTCATTAAATTTGAAACATTTTCTGTTTATACCGCTCTTTTTGTGCTAGGCTAATAACTTTCCGAACTGCCTTCGTATGATATCTTTAGGTATTTGAGATAGACCATTATATTCAATTGCTTTCAAAATAACCCTTTTTTGAAATAAAAATTTAAACTTTTTGATGTGTGTCTTAAAAACTCTTTCTTTCATTTCTCACAGCTCAAGTGGATTTTTCAACATCCGATGGAGTCCCTTTACTCACTCAAACGATTTATGGATTTTTGGACTTTACAACCACCATTGGTAATACGGTTATGGTATTTTCGCCACAAAGTGCTCCACCACCGACACCAAATAGTAAGTCCACTAATTTTTATTCAAAAAATTTAACAAAATAATAATTTCCATTTCTCTCCCTTAGGTCCACCTCCACCACCCGTGACAACCGAAGAACCCATATTGATTAAAACTACACCCTTGGAAACTGTGGCACCCAAAGAAGCCGATGAATCGACTATTAGTCCTACCAAACTAAAACCCTCTTCGACGACAACAACAACCTCCACCGGCCATCATGAAGAAAGTACAACGAAACCAAAAGTTACGGAAGTGAAAACATCGACTACTACAGCATTGACGACAACAACAACAACCACGACAGCCGCTAATGTACCGGCATCACAGGTTACTGCACAAGAGCCAGCAGCAGCAACAGCAAATACCGCCACATCAAAAGCCAAACCAGTTCAGTTGCCCAAAAGTGTAACACAAAAATCAGCAGCATCATCATCTTCTTCGTCGTCTTCCTCTTCTCACTCCACAACACCATCCATAATAATCGATAATGTTGTCCACGATCCGGAATATGATTTACTTTCACGACAACCACCACAATATGTTGAAGAAAATTATCGTGTGGTTAGTTTGAGACCAAACAATAAAAATTCCCGCCCAGCCGTTGTTGTTACACCCGAAAAGAATACTGCCTCCACCAGTAGTGTTTTGGCCACCAGAGTTACGGCTTCCACAGTGGCTTCATCCAGTCGTTCGCATAAAAATAAAAAACATAAAATTCGATCATCATCGACTTTGCAAGTTCTAAAGACAGCTGCTCCGGTTCAGCATCCCAAAGTGACGGCTAGTTCTAAGGCACCAAGTCATCGCAGCAGCAGCGGATCTTCTAGCTCAAGTTCAAGAAAAAGCGGTAAAAAGGGGTCGCATCGCACAACCAGCACTACTACAACCACACCACAGCCCCAAGAAGATGTTGTCATTGTTAAGTCATCGTCATCATCATCGGGTTCGCGTAACAAGCCCAAGAGGTAATAATTTATTTTGTTTTGATCATTTTTTGTTTTGGTTAACAAATTCCAAAATATTATGTAATTAAAACTTTTTTGGCTTTCTCCCTTTTCTCATCTTTCTTCTTTTTTTGTGATTTTTTTCATTTTAGGAAAAACAAAAACAAACATTCATCATCATCTTCATCGTCATCATCGAGCACAACAAAACCCAGATACAGCAGCAGCGGCACCACAACAACCACCACCGAGGCCACCGTTAAACGAGCATTTAAACCCAAACTACAAATTTCCAATCCCGATTTAGAAAGTAACAATAATTTACATATTACGAAATTGAATCGCACTCCCGGTCGTTGGCAATACAAAACCTCACCGAAACCGCGTGTTTCGATACGTAAACCAAATGTAGAGGTAAATGGCCCATTGGGCTTGGCCAATGTCTCATCAGTATATCCGGAACCGGCTCTATCTGATAATTTCCAAAATAATAATTTCCTCAACGGTAATGGAATTTACAATCAAAGCGACTTGGATTTTGAAGGTTCACAAAATGGTGCCGTTCTCAATAATATCGATCAAGAGGGTAAACAAAAATATTTTACCGAAACGATAAATGTGGAGATTTCAACACCCGTCGATTTTAAGGATACCTATTATGAGATTGCCACCATTAAGAAGCCTTTTATATTTCAGGTAAGGTTATAATTTGGAAATGATTTAAATTTTGGTAAAAAAAAAGAAATTGAATTGAAATTGATTAACAAAGGTAGAGGAAAAATTGTTAGGTGTGATCTACACATAACTACAATTTTAATAGGGTAGATCACATAGAGAAATTGGTTCAGCTATCAACCAGCTGCTTCTCAAGCTTGCTGTTATTGTGAATTGTCTATAAATTATGAATACGTAATAAAATACGGTAATTTCTGCGTATTTTATAAATGTGTATAGAACGCCCTCTATATTTCATTTTTGGGGGATGATGTCAATAGAAAATATGTTCTACGGAAAATTTCACTATAGGTCAATGAAAAAATATATCAGGAGATATAAGATATATAGAGAAATATCCACTATCAAAATGTAGAATAAAGGACGGTAATTTAGGTCATTTCTGCGTATTGTATAAAAGTAGAGAGAACGTCCTCTATATTTCATTTTATGAGGATGATGTCAATGAATAAATTATTCTATGGAAAATTTCACTATAGGTCACTGAACAAGTGAAAACTGTATATGAAATATATATCAAGAAAATGTCACATATAATTTGCGTATATAAAAAATAATACATTTTTCGGCCATTTTTTGAGTATTTCCATTTTTGACCAATATCTCTCCCTATACTTAATTTTACTGGGATTATGTCAATGGAAAAAATATTCTACATAAAATTTCACTATAGGTCACCGAAGAAAACATATCAGGAGATATAATACATATAGAGAAATATCCACTACCAAAATGTATAATTTTTTGACGTAATTTAGGTCATTTCTACGTATTGCTTATATGTGTAGAGAACGCCCTCTATATTTCATTTTTGGGGGATGTTGTCAATACAAAATATGTTCTACGGAAAATTTCACCATGGGTCACTGAACAAGTGAAAACTGTAGATGAAATATGTACATCAAGAAAATGTCACAGAAAATTTACGTATGTAAAAAATAATATATTTTTCAGGCTATTTTTGAGTATTTCCATTTTCGACCCATATCTCCCCCTATATTCAGTTTTAGGGAGATTATGTCAATGGAAAATATGTTTTACAGAAAATTTCACTATAGGTCACCGAATAAAATATATCAGGAGATATAAGACATATAGAGAAATATCCACTACCATAATGTATAATATTGGACGTAATTTTAGGTCATTTTTGCGTATTGTATAAATGTGTAGAGAACGCCCTCTATATTTCATTTTAGGGAGATGATGTCAATAAATAATATATTCTACGGAAAATTTCACCATGGGTCATTGAACAAAAGAAAACTGTAAATAAAACATATCTCAAGATAATATCACTGTAAATTCTGTTATATAAGAACTAATACCATTTTACGTCATTTTTGGCGTAGTTCAATTTTTGGCCACTATCTCCATCTATATTTCATTTTAACAGAAAGGTGTGAATGGATAAAATACTCTACACTAAATTTCACTATAAGTCACCGACCACAAGAAATCTGTAGCTACAATAAAATATAATTTTTTTTGTCTGTCATTTTTTGGGTATATTTCTAATTGAACCAAATCTCCCCCGAGAACTTCATTTTAGTGGATTTGTGTTAAAATATTCTCCAATCAAGGCTTATTAATAAGGTCAACCAGAAAGATCAGTTCAAGGCCTATTAATAAGGTCATCCAGGAAGACCAGCTGCATATCAGCTGCTTCTCAAGTTTGATGTCAAAAACCATTATTGTGAATTGACTCCCATAATGAAGACGTAAAAAGTGCAATGTTTTGGCCTTAGACATGAGAAAAAACAGCTGACTTTCGCTTGTTGGCTGACATTATTAAACGATGTTGGTTCAGTTGTAAATCAGCTGCTTCTCAAATTGCTTTTATTGTGAATTGACAATAAATTATAAAAACGTCGAAATTTATTAATAATGTCATACAGGAAGACCAGATGAATATCAGATGCTTCTCGAGATTGATGTAAAAATCCATTATTGCGAATTGACCTTTATTATGAAAACGTAAACAAAGACCAAATTTTTGACATTAGACTTGAGAAACAGCTGACTTTCGCTTGCTGGGTGACATTATTAATAGATCTTGGATCAGCTGCTGTTATTGTGAATTGACTTTTAGTTATGAAAACGTTAACATTTTTGACATTAACCTAAAAACACAGGTTTTATTTACTTCTTGGATGGCCTTATTAAAATGCCTTAATACCAATAACAATTGTTATTATAGGGTAGATCACATGGAGACATTTATTGATATTTATAGGCGTTATTACACAATGCATTTTAACCAATATTCACTAACACTCGTGACATTTCTTAATTTTCTAATCATTTTTTTTAAATATTCTTCCCTCTTCCATTCCATTTACAGGCTGGCGTTTTGAAAAAGACCCGCTATATTACGGTAACCTCAACCATTGAAAAGTTCCTAACAAGTGAACCATCAATTGAACCACGCAATGATGATGAACCCTTAACCGAAAATATTTTAGCGGCAAGCGAGAAACCAAGCAGCGGCCTACTAATGGGTAGTGTTATAACCTTGGCCCCCATTTATGTTAACAACGACTCGTACACCCCCTATTTGGAAACGGTAACCGAATCCTTCAGCGTCGTCAATCAAAAATTAAAAACACAAATTCTACCGGTTATCAATGAACTACATAATCTAACCTCATATCACACCTTAGTTCAAACCATAGATATGACAAGCTTAATAACCGTGGTCAAGACCACTTCTCCCGATATGGAAACTAAAGATTTCCATGGTTTCCAAGATTTTGTTGGCAATCTGGATGAAGCAGGTTCGGAAATTAATTTAGATTTGGAATTCGGTGATGAGAATAACAATCAAGAATCTAGCCACGAATCGGGACATAAACACCACCTGGATCATTTGGATGTTTTGGGACATGGTAATAAAACCTCCGCCGCCATATTGCCAACTCTTTCGACAGATCCACAAAATCTTTTCCCCAATATCATTACAAATTCCCGACCGGTCATTAAATTGGAAACTATATGGGATTCATATGTTGTACCCATTACAAATGGACCATCAACATTCTATCGCACCTTGTCCAAGGCTAAGGGTGTTGTAGAGAAGACCGAATATGTTGTGGACACCACAACAGTACCGGCACCAATACTGCCACCAACATCATTGCCTAATCCATTCCTATTGCCTCAGTTGCAACAATTCCAAACTATCACATCACCTGTCGTACAACAAACCGTTGTTACACAGACAGAAAGTAAGGTATTGAAATTGACATTTGGTGCAAAGACGGCATACACCACGCTCTATTCGACACATGTGGTACCCACGGTCCAGACAACATATGTAACGACATCGGTGCCGGTTCAACCAACAGCTAATCCATTCCCTGGTTATTTCCCACCTGCCTATAATCCATTTGCATATTTAGGTTAAATGTCGAAAACAAAAATTGGGCAGAAAACAAACAGAAGTTGGTGGGAGTTATCGATACCTATATATATTAAAGCGTGTTTAGATTTGCGGAAACCACACTCAATTTCAAATGTCAATTCCATCGGGTATATGTCAAATTAAATTCGCTGATTTTATGACTAGAATTTAACAAGGTCTATTAAACAGGTCACCCAGCTAGCGAAAGTCAGCTGTTAGTTCTCAAGTCTAATGTCAAAAATTTGGACTTTGTTTATGAATTGACATCCATTATGAAGACATAATGGATGTCAATTCACAATAATGGATTTTGAGAACAAATTTGGGAGCCAGCTGATACCCAGCTGTGTGTCAGCTGATTCTGTTATACATCTGTTCATCCAGAAGTATGCTGTCAAAATCTATAATTGTGAATTGACTTCCATTATGTAAATGTAAACAATGCCCAATTTTTTCACATTAAACTTAAAAAAAACAGTTGTCTATGGCTTCTGCCCAATTTTTTGACATTAAATGTCTAATTTTTGACATTAGAATTGAGAAAAAAAAACACTATGACTATGGCTTCCTGGGTGACCTTATTAATAGACCTTGGAATTTAGTTGACGTATACGTTATGAATTGACATTTTTTTTTTAACAGAATGAATTATGTAGTTTAAAAGCCCTTCAATTTTTTTCAAAATTTCAAAATCAATTCCCAAAAGTAGAAAAAATGAATTTGAGTAAACTGAGGGAACATTTCTTTTAATTTAGACTTGCCAATTCAAAACATTTTCTGGTAAACGTAATTTATTTGACATTTATATGAGGAAATGGCAATTAAAATGACAAGCATATGTTCCATAAAGGTTATGTTACACGAACTATCAATGCCATATGTGCTGTCAAATTTTCCTATTTTGTATGCCCAGCAAAAAGTGACAGCACATGTGATATTTATGGCTCGTGCAACCTACCCTTAAGCAAGACCTATTAAAAAAGTCATCCAGGAGATCTAGCTGGTCTGTCTCTTAAGTTTGCTGTCAAAATCCATTATTGTGAATTGACCTGCATTATGAAAACGTAAACAAAGTAAAATTTTTTGACATTAGACTTGAGAAAAAACAGCTGACTTTCGCTTGCTGGGTGACCTTATTAATAGATCTTGCCTTTAACATAAATTTATATCTCGTTTACATATCCTTTGCATATATTTCAAATCAAGATCTATTAATAAGGTCACCCAGTTACCGAAAGTCAGTAGTTTTTTCTCAGGTCTAATGTCAAAAATCTGGCTTTTGTTTACGTTTTCATAACGGAACTCAATTCACAATAATGGATTTTGACAGCAACCTTAAGAGGCAGCTGATATCCAGCTGGTCTCCCTGGACGTCCTTATTTTTAGGCCTTGTTTCAAATAAATGACAAAATATTAGGGAGTTCGTTGTCAAATTCCAGAATGTCGATAACGGTGAGAAAAAAAGTGACAGCACACAACAAAGTGATGAAGTGTCAATCTATACGTTAAGGTCGTAAATATTTTTTACCCTATTGACTATGTATTTCAAATGAAGTATTTTCTTTTCCTAAATTTTTCAAAACTATAGGTATCGATATATGCCTATAATGTACAATATTATATACATATTATCCTATCTTTCATATTTTATACATCGAAACATATTTCTCTTTCCATTCCTTCCCTAAATATTCAATTGCATGGCGATACATCAATTTTTATTGTATGCATTTTATAAAGGCAACTGGACACACAATAAATTAGCTCATATCAAAAGAGGTTTAAGTTGGCTTTGTATTAAATGTCAATTTATAAAAGGAATATCAAAGTCAAACTTGAATTTGAACGCCGTTCTCCTATATTCTTTTACAAAAAAGAAGCCAACTTAACATGCCAAGCCTGAAGTCCTCTTATGTGTTTCCCCTCTTTAGAAACAAAAATTGAGCTCCAGTTGGCTACTATCAATAAATATTGATTGCAATCAATGTATTTTACTAGGTTAAGAAATCAAATACACCCATCCACAATGACAACAACAAAAAATACTCAATACTCACAAATTTATCATGCATCTCTTTCAGATTTCATTTGTCCATTGTAAATTTTCTTTATTTTTTTCAATTTTGTTTAATTTATTTTTAAAAGAAAAAAATATGTATTGTAAATCCACACACATACAAAAAACTAAAACACCACACAAATCACATACATTCTAACCAATCATATACAACATTATCACCGCAACACATTTTTATTATTAATTATAAATCATCATTTTGTTTGTACAGTTAGCAATATACAAAACACAAATATCATATTCCTTATCCTTATATATTAAAAAAACAAGTAAAATTAAAAATATAAATATGTTAAGCAACGAACACAATAATAATTATTATAATAACTAATTGGATTTAATTTTTTGTTTGCCCCAAGAAAAAAACCGAATTTAAAATTTTATTTTCTTCCCTTTTTCAATTGTATTTATGTATTTAATGAAAAATTTATGTATGTTTTTATGTATTCATATATTTCGTTTTTTTATAAATTTATATTGGAGCTCAAATTATTGAATAAAATATACATATTTTTCGTTTTGTTGAAATTTTTTTGTAAAATAATTGTGTTTGTTTTTTTATTCGGTGTATGTTCACCTTTATTTTTTTACAATAAAGGAAGCCAACTTAACATGACAAGCCTGAAGTCGCCTTAAGCTGCCCACACACGTCGAGCATGTTTAACGTTTGTGGTACAGTGTGTACCCCGAACGAAAGAAATTAAAAAAAAATCGTTTTGTGAATGTGTTTGTTATAAAATTTTGTGGAGTGCGGATCAGCGGACAATGTCAAGGACATGCACACTTTTTTTGGAAGAATTAATAGATGTTTTTTACACTTAACCTGCAGTGGGAAACAAATATGTTTGAATGAAATAAAATTTAAATTAAATTATGTGAAAATTTTCGTTTTTTGCGATCACTGTGCATCTCCTCGCTTTAAAAATGAAGTTTTGTGGATTCGTTTGATGTGTGTAGCCTAGCTTATGTTTGACGTGTGTGGGCCGCTTTAATATAAAATTCTTACCTTGAAGAAAAGCTCATGTCCCATTTCTTTACTCTCCAATGCTGATGAGAAAAACAGAGATTAAACGATGACGGCCACTGTGACGGCAACGATTGTTCAGACAACCGATGATGAGACGAGACGAAATGTAAACAAACGAAGCCACGAAATGGCCACTGACCAAAACAAAAAACAAATGGGAGAAAGAAACACACAGTCCATTTTTATTTAACAACACATTTTATATTGATCAAATAATTATATTTTCAATACCGATTTGACAAATTCAATTAAAATACTTGAATTAAACAATTTTCACTTCACTTTGTCAATAATTTCGATTTACAATAAGGTATTAAAATATTGATAATGACAGGAGGGGCAAAATGACAAAAACACACAAAGAAAAACAAACACTGATTACCGACATGAAAGAAAACACAACTCGCGAAACTCCCGAGACAAACTACTCGTACCCGGCTTTAATGAAAACACAAAACAACTGACGAGAAAATAATTGTAGGGTTGCCCTAATCAAAGAAATTAGATAAAAAAAAAAACGGTATGGGATTAAAGGAGCAAAAAATATTAATTTTAAATGCTGAAATAGTTATTTTTGTAATTTTCAATAAATATTTACTTAAATGCTGAATTAAGGTAAATTTTTAATGAAACGAACAAGAATTTTAGTAAGGATAATTATTTTGAAGGAATCAGCTGTTCCAAAACCAAACAGCTGATCGTATGTCATGTAGTATACATCCATAACCAGCTGATTTCTGTTAATAAATTCATGATGAACAAATCTAAAATACGCTTAAAGCGGATTTACATGCACCATTTCATCTTGCTTTATCATACAAAATGGTATAACTATACAAGGTAGTCTCATTTGAGAAATTGATAATGGCAACCCTTCTCAATATGGAATTTATATATCAATTTCAAATAAAATGGAAAATAAGTTCCATAAAATGTTACGCATGACGATTGGCAAATTTTCAACAAATTAAAAAAAATATATTTTCCACATTGTTCTCAAGATTTTACTAAGAATGTTGAAATTTATATTTATAGGTTTTATAGGCAGGGAACTTAAAATTATTAATAAATATAAATGACTCAAAAAGATTTGCACTGAACACAAGATTGGCGTACATTTTGATAGAAGAAATTTTTGTTTAAATTTTGAAAGCTGAATGTTGTCAAAAGCTAATTTATGAAAAATTGTAAACATATGATTGCATGAGACTACCTTGTATAGTTATGTCATGGCATTTTTGTTAGGAAAACGATTTTTAAGGATTTAAAATCAGCTGATCGTATGTAACGTATACATTCTTAACCAAATCAGCTGGTTAGTATTTATGATAAACAAATCTAAAATACGCCTAGATTTATAACCTTTAATGTCAGGTCCGTCAATAATCCACTAAAATTATGACGAGGAAATTGAACTCTAGGACTATTTTTGATATTTGAGATATTTAATTTGATGTTTATCATACAAAGAAAGTCTGAATTTGAATGTACTATGAGGCATTTAGATAATGTCTACAAAATCTGCTCGAATTCTAAGATACAAAGTAACCTGCTGTTTAGACGGGTATTAAAATGTTGTAGAATAGAACATATTTCCTGGTTTCTTATTTCCTGGTAATAATTAATTTCAAGCATACATCATTAAACAGCTGATTTCTATTAGTAAATTAATGAAGACAAAATCTAAAATACTCATAGATTTATGACCTTCACTCTATTTTAAATGTCAGTTCCGTCAAACATAATCCACTAAAATTATGACGAGGAAATCGAACTCTAGGACTATTTTTGATATTTGAGATATTTAATTTGATGTTAATCATACAAAGAAAGCCTGAATTTGAATGTACTATGAGGCATTTAGAGCATGTCTTCAAAATCGGCTCGAATTCTAAGATACAAAATAACCTGCTG